ATATTGTGATTGTGACATGATTCACAATTAGTGGGAATAATTCTTGCATCACAAATCTCATTTTTACTGGGAAAACATGTAAAATCATGATGATGTGACATTTGTCAGTGTCTGTAAAACAAACACATTTTCTTCCATCTGGAGAACAAGATTTGTAGACCAGGGTATCTCTACAGCACTACAGTACCTCATTGTAATACTCTTGCCACACATTTTACCTTATAATTGTGCAGCCCTAGTTCGAATATAAATAATTATTAATACTTATTAAAACTAGAAGGATTTAATCGGCATCATCCTCTCTCAGAACACATATAGAAATGGGCCTGTTTGTATACAAGTTGTGTCCTGTTTAAGTTTGAAATTGTTTTGGTGAGAGAGGGATAGAAGTTCTTCCAGAGTCTTATGAACCTCGTTTTACTGGGAGAGAGAAATGTGTTGTAGTGCCTCCAAGACTCCAGACTGACTGACTCTTACTCAGACATCCTCACACTTCATTGTATCAGCCACAACACTCATTGAGTGTCTGGTTATTCATCACCACACACAGAGGCAGTCTGTGTGCTGAGGAGTGTTGAGAGGAGTCCTACGGTCAGAGTGATCCGTCCATCTGGTTAGTGAGCCTGCAGCTGCTTCAGTGTCGAGGGCAGGGCCGCACTAATACAGTCTCTGTTCCAGTGTGGACTTCAGTTACCAGGGAACGCCACTGATATCTGTGTCGTGGTGGATAAATCAGTACTCTACTACACCACGCTGGATAATAACTTGGCACTATGCTGCAGTTTTTCCCGTTCCAAATGTATGGCAAGCTTTATTGTAATATCAAACTTTTTTTTTGTATTTCACAGTATTTAAAAGCAATAGTTTGCTTTTTACCGTTACATCCCGGGAGTCTGGATAAAGCTAGCTGACAGTAGTTTGCTATAATAATTTCAGGAACTAGTGAAGAATGTTTGGAGTAACTGTGTTATGGTGGACTATTACATCCAACAGAAACAGTTACATACAGTAAGAGCGGGAGTCTTTAATGCACAGTAATGTACAGGGACACTGATATAGGGACAATACTGACACAGTAATGCAAAACTGAGAGGCCAGTGGTTCAGATTTCTGACACATGAGAACACTGCCAGTGTCCACTGTTCTCCCGATTAGAGACTGTCAGTATATAACAGTAGTTATAAATCAAATACTGAAAGCATTATGTGTGTCAGGGCTTTTACATTGGTAGGTAATGTCCTATGAAGATGGATCTGATTTTGTTTTTCTTTCTGCCAAACAGGAACGAATTGAGATCCTCAAGTTGCGGCAGGGAGATAATCGGATCCTGGGCTTCAGCATCGGAGGAGGGATAGACCAGGACCCTGGACAAAACCCCTTCTCTAAGGACAAGACTGACAAAGTAAGTCAAGATGTGTGTATGTGTATCCATGCTCTCTATATACGGCACCTGTATGCAGTAAATGGTACAGCCAGGGGTGCGTAATTAAAACACAATTACTATATTACTTAATACTATTTGGAACACAAAGCTACCAGATGATTTCTAATGTGGTATAAGTTTGTTCCTGATCACATCCCTGCCCTGTTGAAGCTCAGTGGTACTAGAGCAGTACTTTGGTGAGCTACAAGTGAGGAGCAGGCCTGAACACATCACCTGCAGCCTCAGGGGGGGAATAAACCATACTCCCCTAACTGATGTCATAGACAGGAATACTGCAGGTTTACAGTCTCGTCTTGTCTGCTGAATGTGTATACACAGTGCTGGAGAGATAGAAATGGCTCAACAAATGCCAGCCACAGATAAGTTAAGATCTTAGATCTTTAGATATTAGCTTCTACCATTTGACCTTTTAGACTCTCCTTTAGATATTCTTGTTTATGAGCATTATTGGAGTTTTCCAGCAGAGCTCTACAAGTGTTCTCATCTCATTGATATACTTAAAAAACAAAGGGCGTCTGTGCTGTTTTCTTTAAAGTATCTGTTCCTTGTAGTGCTGAGACGATAAGTCCATTAACTGTATTTGATTGGCAAAAAAAGGTGCTATTTAAAATCATGCAATCAAGTGAGAGAATTTGCTGCTTTTCTGTTTTATTTCATTGTACATTGAATATCTTTTGTGGTGTTCTAAGGGCATCTACGTGACCAGGATAACACCAGATGGACCAGCACATGAGGCAGGCTTGAGGATGGGAGACAAATTACTGCAGGTGTGTAGTGGAAAAGCTTTGGTCTCGATCCACAAGATGGCACCATGTGTACACTAGAGAGTCGGACAGGAGCTGTGCATCAGGAGCAGTGCTCGGCTTGGCTACAGCTTTTCTTTTTTTTCTTCGTTCTAAATTCTGTTCTTCCTCCCAGGTGAACGGCTGGGATATGACTATGATGACCCACGACCAGGCGCGTAAAAGACTAACAAAGAAAAATGAGGATGTGGTGCGGCTACTGGTGACCAGAAAGTCGTTGGAGGAAGCTGTCAAACAGTCTATGGGCAGTGGTCCCAGACAGGAACACAGTGGCACTCCTTCTAAGCAGAAACTAATGCATTAGCCAAAGACTGAACACTCCTATACTGAGACTCCCACAAATTGAGGCCTTTTATAACTAAGTCAATGCAAAAATATTACACAGACCACATCCGTCTTCACAAGTCAATTCTTACTCATTCTGATCAGTCATTGGACAATGAGCCGGGGGGGCTCTTTCTTTCCATACGCACTCAAACTCATCTCAAAGTTATCTGCTTTACTTTGTACACATCTTTGTAGCATATCCACGTGCAACTTGTGAAATATGTGGCAATCCAAAAACAAACTCTCAAATTAAATTAAGAATCCACTATGATAAAGAGACTGAATTTTAAGTCTTCGGATTAACATTTGGCATCCAGTTGTGCTCTAAAACTCACATTTATCCATTTAGACTAATTTAGAGAAACAAATACATTTATAAATGTTGCTGTATGAAAAATAATGTTATAAGTTATGAACAGTTTATGCTGATATTCACAATAATTAGTATAATTACTTTGTCCTTGTTTAGGTTTTTGACAAACTGTGCTGAAATTAAATTAGTTTTTGGAAGACCTTTCACTACTTTACACTAATTAAATTTATCATAGCACAGCATTCTTGATTAATTTCACCAGAAAATATTTGCCAAATGTCCTCAATCCATGTTAAAACATATTTGATCCTTTTCTGCCCACAACTGACCAAAGTTACATACATACATCAATAATGTACATGCTGTTTTTTTGTGTCATTAATGATCAAAGTTTCATCTCATTTAAATAAAAGAAAAAACAACAGCAATGTGCTGTCATTCCTGTCAAGATTACAGCAAGTGCCAAAGTAAAAGCCAAGTCACTGTGAAGAGATCAAAACATGGATAACAGTGTTTGTAATCTTTTGTTTTCTTTTTCCTATAATGGTACAGTATACTGTACAAAGTCTGTACAACAAACCATATTCCTTTATGTTTAGTGTCTTTTCACTAATTGTTCTTTTACTGATTAATTTCTCTGTCTTCTTTTTATCTTGCTTTGTGATGACGTCTATTACATGTGTAGGAAAGTAACTCTTTTTCTGTGTCTGCGTAACAAAATGTACACGTTCTTCCAAGTTACACTAATAATGTCTCATACAAACAGTATTCCACTAGCTGGGCCTTCCTTTGGATAAATATCTCATCATTTATCAGTATAGTTACCTTTTGTCAGGTTCAGCCAGGGAAAGTTGGTCTGCTTTGATGCAAGCAACCCCAGTAGTGTCACACTGGAATCATTCAGATTGTCTCAACCCATAAAATGTTTTGAAGTTGTTAATTGTCACTGACCAAAAGTTGAAACTGTAAACCTGAACCAAGCAGGACTGAATGTGAGCAGCAGCCTTAAATGAAAACTTAATACCACTAATTAATGATTTGTTCCAATTTTGCCATTCCACTATGGTTTCTGAAAGACAATGATTCATTGCCTCTGATACAGTACCTACTGCATAACATTGCTAATGAGTGATTTAGTACTAATCATAAACAATACTTTGAAATGCTATAGTACTGATATGATTTACAATATTAATCTTATATCTTTGAGTGATCTTTTTTTTCATGCTAGTGGTATATGTAATATGTCTTGTATGTGATTGTATATGATTAACATCTAACCTAATAAGCAAGTGTGTAAAATGTTAAGTTTTCATTCCAAAATTAAATATCCAATGTAAAAACACAGCTGAAGATACAATAATAATGCAATAGAAAGTCAGCATTATGTTGTTGTAGCAATATACTCATGTTAAAGGTACAGTCTGACTAAAGTAAGCCTCATAATGAATTCTAAGGAATCAAAAAATACATATATATGTAACCTTTTTTAGTACACCATTTTGGAATGAAACCTTTTGATACTTCACAGCAGTGGTTCCAACCTTAAAATGAAGCCATATTGTGATCCCTCATCACTGATTATGGCCTTAGTGCTGACACAAAATAACAAAAGTGTTTCTTCCCTCTTAGGTCATTTCATTTAAATGATTTTTAGAGGTAAAAGTATCTAGTATTTTTCAAGAAAAGGCAAACCAATTGAGTAAAGCCAGAGCAGGGATTTCCAGCACAACTTTACCTGCTTCCAAGATTCAAGGAAAAAGGAAAAAGTTTTGACCTTTTCAGAAAAGCCAAAACAAACATGTTTATACGTAATTGTTTAGTTTTTTTCATATTCCTTTTATCATCTTAGGACCCTCGGGGGTTGGAAACCACTGCTTCACAGCATTTAGAAATTAGTGTAAGACAAATGACTTGCACTGTTTTCTATTCAAATTGTCTGCTCCAGATTTTGTAAATGTAAACTTCCAGCAGAGCACAAACGTTTTGCATTTGACTGTATTCATTTTACTAAGTGAATGTTTCTCAGATATAAAAGGACTGAAAATGAAATATGCCTCTCCACCGTTTATTGATAAAGTGGCAATATAATATGATCAAAAGTAATAATCTGTTTTTGTTTTCTTTATTCTTTTTATCTTACAGGCCCTTCAAATAGCTTCATGTTGCCTGTTATAAAGTAATCAGCTGACATTTCAAAGCAAAGAATCTATTCCCTGACCTTTCTGTGTTTACCAAGGCATTTTGATACAGAGAGCTTTCTCTACTTTCATCTCTTAAATATGTGAGCCTGGAACCAATCACTGGCCTTTGAACTGAGGACTTGGGGAAACATACAGGCCACAATGCAGAAGAATGAGAAAAACTATTGGCAGAAAGTGACTCACTATTAAAAAAACTTGTGAGAAAAGTTTCTATTTTATGTGCTGCACCAGTTTATTTTGATTTTTAGAAGCACACATTCCTCCATTTTCTTTCCAAAGCAACTGCAGTTAAAACTTAAAGAACAAGCTAATTAGACACATTTCCAATTCTTTTACATATGTGGCTATAAAATCAATTTATTTATCAATGTTAACAGCTGACCAAGTTAGTTATTAGTGTCATGATGGCAGGCGGTATATAATGTAATGTACTAGCAGCAGGCTTGGGGAGTAACAGATTACAAGTAACTGAGTTGCAGTTACAGAAAAAAAAAAAAAAAATCAGATTACTGTTATATTTAATAAAAGTGGGGATTATTTATACACACGTTTGATGCTAAAAATCTTTCCATTTTCCATTTGTTTCTGTTTCCATTTTCTTTTCAAAGGTTACATTGTTGTCTTTTTGTATCAATACTTCTTTCTTTTCTCTTGTTTTTATTTGCATATTTGGTGTTGAGGTTAATCCAAAAATAACAGAAAGTAATCAAGTTACGTTCCTTTAATATTGTGATGCTTGGTTTAGGTTACTTACTGCATTTTTTATCAGGTAATTAGTTATTGTATCGTAGCGCTCCCAACCCCCGACTACCAGGGAATTGTCAGTTTTCTGACACACAGCTGACCTGAATTCGCTGTGTAAGGTATTTTTTTTAAGTCTTAAAATAACACCTGGTCTGTTGCACATCATGGGAGAGGGTCGATTTAGGGCAACACTGAGCTAATATCCCCCCTTTGAGAAATAATTGATGAGCGAATCTGTGTGTGAGTGTGTGTGTGTGTGTGTGTGTGTGCGGCTGTTATTCTTGTTGCAGGGACAGAAGGAAGCACGCTCCATTCCACTTGCCTAGGCATCATAATACTATTATACCGTGTTATGAGACAATAAAGTGGTTGTACAAACATCTCAGCCAGTGCTCACACTCACAATGCGACTCTACTCTCACCAATACCACAACATTAACACTTTGCATGTTGCTTGGTAACTAATGGACAGCTATAAGTGGGAGCAGTGACCACCCAGATTCATTACAGGAGGTACTGTGTGCTATCATTTAATCAGCATTTACAAATTAATTATTACTCCTTCTAATTTAGCTGCCATGATCCTCAAAAAGGCTTAATTAATTAGTTTGACTTGAGTCTATTTAAATAGCTTTAATGTTTAAATTTACACACTTATCAAACCATTTATAAAGTAATTTAAACAAAACTACAAAAATCACCCATCAAACCAAATGAAGCGGCTGACATGTTGCACCAAAATAACAATTTATTTGCACTAAAAGATAACACAGAGATAAATGTTGCTGCCTGCAGGCGCTGAATAATTACACACACTAAAAAACACTGGGTTAGATTTGACCCAGTGTGGGGTCAGTATAGCACCGATGCAATACTAGGCTAATTTTACGGAATTTCCATTGGTAGAAAACCACCGAACAGGAGGGATGTTTTGATCCAGTAACAGTAACATAAAAATAACAACGGCGGGTCAAAACACCCCATTTTTAACCCAGTGTTTTTTTAGTGTGCACTATCTAAACGAGGATCATACATGATCCTTGCCTCCCACGTAATGGCAGGATAATTGTGTTGCCATGGTGATGCAATCTGCTGCTATCACTTTGGTCCTCTACCAGATTGGAACCAGAGGGAAGTCCACAGCTTCACATTCATATGCATGTTAGGGTGTAATAAATGGCAGGAGAGGCAGATTGTCGAGTGTTTGAATGCAAACGTACATTCAGACAGAGGTTATCAGTGTATTCTGTTGGTAACGGGCAGAGTAGTGTGATTGTTTTCATTAATTTATTTATTTATTCAGCTGGAGCCATTTGTGGGTCCATCTTTGCAAACACATGCTGTGGCAAGGCATTGTTCAAATCCACAGAACTTTATTTCCAAAGACACCAAATGTGTTTTACTACATTTGGAAAACAAATGAATAAAATGATGCAAACAACATTTAAAATATGTACTACTACTACTATGTAGTAGTGCAGCTGTAAAAAACATATCATGTTGAGATTGAAGATTTCACAGGCTGGCAAAACAATCTCAGCACAAGGTAGTTATGATAATAATAATAATTCAACAACAAAACAACTAAATCTTGTGAGTTTATGAAAAGCTCGGAAACAGCTTCTGAATGGACCCTGTGGTGTGTTTTTGAACGACTGTCTCAACTGCTATGAAGCTTTATGACAAGAAGGTGATCATATTGTCTTCTTCTGTTTTGTTTGAATTTAAAGAAACTCAAGAGGAAATGTATTTTACACATACAGAATCATGGCTCTGTTCAATGTACAATTGTACTCTCAAAAATGTTTTGTTTATTTCCAAATGTACATTTTTGGAAATGCTTGAGAAGGTCTGCAAAACTTCATGTCTTCAAAATATCACCAAAAACTCAGATGGGCAGCTTTAAAGTTTATAAAATAATGTTAATCTGTCACAGCCTCTGCTTTCTTTCTTCCCTGTCTCTCATGCCACATGATAGATAAAATTGCGCAAATATGCTGCAGTTATTTTCTTCCAGTGTGTGGTCGGCTTCATGCATATCAATGCAACTTTTGTGAACGTGAACATGGTGAGTGGGTGTCAGAGTGGAAATCTGGGCAGCTGGGTGCCAAAGGGTTACAACTACATGAGCTCCCTAGAGTGAGCAGTGAGCAGAAACATGTTGTAGTTACTACTGTGTGTTTATACAGCAGGGACCTTCAGGACCCAAATCCACTGTTTAATAAGCAAAATGGGTGTCGGTGTTATCATGTAGGGAATCAATGACCTTGAATCATAAAGTGGCTATTTATTTATCATGAAAAATACAGTTTATTTTCCTGTGAGTATTTCACACTGGTTTCATTATTGTGGACGGGCAGCAGGTGGTTTTATCTTGATTTTTTTTTCCATCCCGAAGGAGCCTTAACCTCTCCTCCTCCCACGCAGACCTCTCAGGCGCTCCTCTCCGCCGGAGGCTCCGTGGATGAAGCAACAAGACGCTTGGTAGTAAAACGCGAGATAACAGTGATGATGATGATGTTGATGAGGGGAGATTCAGTGTGTGGGCAACAATAGTTCATTATCGGCTGCGTGGTGTGAGAGAGAGAGGCATCCACATGACGGTGTGAGCAGCATCTTGGACGGACAGAGGTGTGTAAGATTTGTAATTTGTCACTTTCTTGAGAAGTCTGACATCGTTTGAGTGAAAGTTGTTTGTGAAATTGTCAAGTTTTGAGCCTTGTTTTTTGCAGCGGCTTCAGATTGGACAACTAGTTGCAGACGGAAGGATCTGTCTCCTTATGACGGCTCCACTCAACTGAAAGGCTGAAACAGGGTACCTGACTTTATCCTTTCTCTGTCTTTGGCTGCCAGTTTCATGTAGCTGATGCATTTTCACAAGATAATCACAAGAAAGAAAACATGCATTTGTAAGGAAAGCTGTGCTGACGATCTATCTATC